AAAAAAAAAAAAAAAAAAGGAAAAAAAGAGGGAAAAAAAAAAAAAAAAGGGAGTTGGCTTGGGTCTGCCCGTTTTGGGTCGGTAAGGCCTGAGTCGAAAGTTCAAGTCGAGTCTCGATTTTTTGATCGAACTTTTGCTCGGCTCGGGCCAAAAAAGTCCACCTTTAGCCCCTGTTTGGTTCCAATTTTTTTTTCATTAAAATAAAAAATATGACCGTTATCCATCACATCAAGTCATCAAATTTAAATTTCTATCTCTTATATGGGATTCGTAACGGCTATATTTTTCATTCTCATTCTTCCAAAAATAAGAAACAAACGGGGGCTCAAAAAGCTCGAGTCGAGTTCGAGCCTTGATTTTTGACTCGCGAACCGAACCGATTCGACTTGACTCGTTGTCATCCTAGGCGTGGAATCACAGTTTTAACACTGTTTGCATCTTGTTGCCACTTCTCTTGGGACGTGTCCACGTGCATATGGATGGATGATTAAATTTATTTTTATTTTTCCATATGTGGACCATATTGAAGATGGATCAAGACACTACAAGCTCTGATCAGCTCATCTTAAATTTCGGATTGTTTCATGAAATGGACATTTGGTACAAATCAACTTTCGATGAGTTGTCACAACCATCATTAAAGACGTGTGTTCTTAAATTACTGGATGATAAATTTTACAGTAAAATAGGACGATAAGGTGATTACGTGGCTACACTAGTATTCATAAGAGACACGAATCAATTGTGCTATATGTACAATTGGGGTTGTCAACCTCGATTGATAATTAGACACATGGGAGGGGGCCCATATTGAATAAAAAAATTTTGGCTCCCCCTTCTGCGAGTATATTGTCAATCCTGATTGTACAAGAAGAATAATTCTAAACGAAATGAAAATGAATTTTGCTACTTTACTATGTAGGGGTTACAATAGTGGGTCCCACGCGAAACCCACTTGTATAAAAAATGGGGAATTTCTTGAGACATAGGGAACCCTTATTGAATGGAGTGGGGGTGGGGTTTTGGATATTTTTTTTATACTCGGGACCCGCTTAATATGAGTACGTGTAGGGATTCTGTGAAGCATGTGAGTGATCCCCTACTCTGTACCTCAAGCTTCATCCAATGAAAATTTGCTATTGTAATCCTCAGAAGAATGACGAGTAAAATGATAGAATATCAGTATATTATTTATAAACACATTATGTGAGTAGTCTGTTGATGCTAATAAAAAATATATATATAGTTATATTTGGTAGGATTGTAGATGAAACTTCCAGCATAAGAATAACGAGTATGATATCCGAAAACAAAAATTAATATGAAATAGAAAGAATAAATAAACGAAATTCAGAGCTTGTTTGTCTCTCATTATGGGAGAAATTATAGAATTTTGAATAGTAATTTTTGGAGAAAGAGTTTTTAAAATTTAAATAAACTTTATTGATTTGTGTATAGAATATTTTATTGTGTGAATGTATGGTGGAAAATGTTACTGTAGGGAAAAATTTAGTCCTCATTTGGCTCCCATTAAATTCCATTATATTCCATTTTTCTCTTTTCTATTTTTAACCATACAATCTTTCATAAAATGATATTAATCAAAAAAATTTCCTTCTTTTTCAACTATTCATTTTCAAAAAAAAAAAAAAACGATTCTAAGCATTTGCATTTCTAGAAAATGGAGGTCAAACGGGGGCTTAATTTGTTAAATGACAAACATGGGCTCATTAGAATGCTCGCATAATAATCGTTCGGGTTTCGTATACCTAAAAAAGTAAGACTTTTTTTGTCAACCATTTTACCAAGTTATTTTGTGTACAGTACTTATTTTTAACCACATATTTTTTATTAAAATAATATTATACGTAAATTAAAATATTTTTCCTCTTTTTTAACCATACATTTCAATATCAATAACTCCTTCATAATACAATTTTTAAAATTAAAGAGGCACAAATAGGCCTAACTATATAATCAAGATTGAACACAGAACATCCATAATTTATTCAAGATTTCAAACCCCAAATACACTTTATTGAAATCAACACAACTACGAGAGCAAGATGCAAAAAAAAAACCAGAGGGCCACGAACCATTAGCAAGAAGCATGAGATTCATCACCACCAGTAATATTAGCAGAGTAGATAAAACGCTTCATATGGTTGTATAACTCTTGTGCAGCAGTCCTGTTTTGAAGTTCGATACCATGGTAACCATCTTGAGTATACTGATAGACCACGGTTACATTGTAGCTCTTCAACAACTTTACTAACAGGGTTGTTCGGTCGGACAAGGGATCACCATAGAATGATTGCAGAAAGACCCTCGGTAAGCGTGGAACCCTTCCGTGGTAAGATCCACCAGTTATCGGGTTACAAAATTCATGATCGCGATTAGCGTGCAGTGGCAATGCCAATGTCCACAATACGTCACACATGAACAAAGGAATAACAGTATCCTCTTTAAGTCTAATCTCCGATGGAGTCCTATGAACTCCACCAAAGAAAGGTTGATTTAATAGAATTCCACGGATTTTTAATGGTCGAAGATCAAAATCCTGTGCACGTAGGGCCAGGTGGTAAATTGCGTTCGCACCAGCACTACTGCCCAATAGAAAAACTGTCGAAAAATCAGCATAGTTTAGCCATGGATCACGTCCCCCTATACCTAGTGATTGGTTCTTAACCCAGAAGAGAGCATTCAAGGCATCATCATAAGCTGCCGGGAGGCGGTGTTCGGGGGCCAGCCGGTACTCGAGAGATACCACCACCGCCGGGAACTGCGCGGCGATATCATTACAAAAGTTATGAAAAGTAACTGTCGCTGCACTAAACAACACAAAATCACCTCCATGTAAGTAGAAAATGAGTGGAATCTTGGAGTCTTCTGGGGGATTGATTGGTCTATAGAGGCGGACATAGGCTTTGCTATTATGGCTAAGCCGAACATCCTTCGAGAGCGCTACAGGAGGGTTTATCGGGTCAGTAACAGAAGGGGTGGCATTCACCAGAGGGACTGTGATATTTCTATGCAATGTGCCGTCAGGATTCCAGCTTATTCCAAGTAATTGGAAGGCTTCTTGCCACGTATGGTTTCTAGCCACGTTTTCTTCAGCCCTGATCGATGTACATGATTGGCTGATAAACAAGAAACCCAGAAGAGTGTAAGCTGCAAGAACACGCCAGGATTTTTGGTTTTGGTTCAGACAATGTTGTCTGAACATTGTTTGTGGTAGCAGAGGATTCATACCAAGGACTGTAAGTTAAAGATGAAGAGTTGCTATAATGTAGATGACTTGGAAGGGGTTATAAATAGAGTGAATTTGAGGGGTTTTGATGAAACTTCAACCCTACTACAAATTAAAATTCCCCGACTTGTTGGGCACATCTCGCGATAAACCTCTTTTACGATACTCCAGAGACGAGGTGGTGGGGGGACCCTTAAAATTGGGGTTCAATCTTTTTTTTTTAATTCAGATTTTAATTTAAATTAAAGTCAATAAATAATTTTAATCATATTTTTTATGAGAATACAATTTTTCGAACACGTATTTCAATAATTTTTATCAAAATTTGCTGAAAATTTTATTTTAATCCTCCACGCGAAATTAATTTTAGATAAAATATTTAGGTTTCTCGAGTACATTTACTATCCACAACCACACACACAAACAAAATCCAATTTGAGTTTCGCTACGGGGCCTATGTGGCTGGGATAAGTGGCATTAGCCATCCAATTTTCCAGTAGTTTCAAAATATGTTTCTCCAAATATTTTCGACGCTTGTATTTTTTCGAATCATTTCCAACACTGAGAGAGGAAAAAGTTGAAAAAAGAATTAAAAATACAAAATTCATATTTTAATTTCAATCAAAATCAATACCTAATTTTAACCACACATTGTATAAGGCTCACAATTTTTCGACCACACATTTCAATAACTTTTATCAAAATCTATTAAAAATCTGATTTTTAGTTCCCACAAAACAAGGTTGAAAATTAATTTTGAATAAAATATTTAGGTTTATCGAGTAAATTTTTACACTTCCACAACCACACCGACACACACAAACAAAATATATTTCTCCACATATTTTCCATGTTTGTATTTGTTCTATTCATTTCCAACATTGAGAGAGGAAAAAGTGGGGGGGAAAAAAGGTGAACTCAAAAATACTTAAAAGAGCAAGCATAAACCTACTACACATTCATTCCTATTTAAGCCCTCGTTTGTTTTCCATTTTTTTCACATTAAAATGAAAAATATGACCGTTTTTCATCACATCAAGCCACTAAATTTGAATTTCTATCTCTTGTGTGGAGCCCATAACGACTATATTTTTCATTCTCATTTTTACAAAAATGAGAAACAAACGCCCCTTAAATAAATTAAAGTTAATCCCTCAGCAATTTTTCCGTAGCTAGCCAACAAAATAACAACTAATTAAATCAAAACAACGCACTCACTGTTTTCGTATAAGTTCTGTTACTTTACTAATTCAATCAATACGCACATAAACTTGAATCTGATTTAATGAATGATTTTTTAATGACCAATTGATTTGATTGTGCTGTTACATCACTTGAAATCTTCTAAATCTTATTCGACTATATTTTTTATTTCAATATGTTGACTCCAAATTTTCTTGACCACTTAAATTATTGTGAGGATTCACACCCTCATCACTTCAAAATTTTAAGGTCTCTTTGCTTTGATCCTAATAATTTTTATTGTAGAGCCGTTAAACATCGCTATGACCATTCGATAGACTGTGCTGGGGTTGAAAGCGATAAATTTTTGCACGATGGTTTATTAAAATTTAGGGGACGTTTGTTTTCCATTTTTGTAAAAATGAGAATGAATATAATCGTTATGCGCCTCACACAAAAGTTAGAAATTTAAATTTGATGATTTGATATGATGGATAACGATCATATTTTTCATTTTAATGGGAAAAACGAACAGGGGCTTAATATCTAACCCGGGTTATGTATACAAACGTATTATTTAATTCAACTGATGTCTATGTCTAAATAATTTGGGGGGCCTGGTAATGAAAGAATTATGTTTCACGTGCATTGTTCAATACATTATGTAGTCTAAATCTACTAACGGTAGAAACAATTTTGACGGAATTTTCATATAATTGACTGGCTCAATTATTGTACTGTCTCATATCCATTTTGGGACCATTAATATATCGAATGAATTAAGAGATGTACCGGGACATCTCAATTTTGTTGACATTTCTTAGTATGAATCCAGGATGTCTACGTGTGGTGGTTCAGTCATCACCGGAGTGTTACACGTCGTGCTATGGTCCCCAGGTAGGGAGATTTGTCTCGTCGCCGTGAACCCAAGTATGGTCACCAACCTCAAAGAGTTCCAGTGAAAAAAGGCGATGGTTCTATGTAAAAACAAGATAGGGTTAGGTTTTTCAATTGCATAAATGGCTTGCAAATGAATAGAAGAAAGAAACAACTTCAATTCACGAATTTAGGCTCTGATACCATGATAATATACTATTAAACATAAAGAATCAAACATATAGAAAAAAGAACAAAAGGGGAAGAAGAAGCAAAAATTAATTGAGCCCTCAAAAAATAGATTTCGATTGAGAGAATAACGTTATATATACAAGAAGACCAAAACTAAAAAGAAACCTACCAAAGAAAGGAAACTAATAATATTATACATAAATATTATATTATGTTTTTATGAAAAAAGAGAAAAGAATATAAGAGTTAAAACTCAAGTGTGTCTTTTATTGAGAATCAGGAACCATATTTATAGGGTCCAAAAGAAGAGTTACAATTAGTGCAAAATGGATATTCTAAACTAAATAAAACTTATCTATGTATCATGATAACACTAAATAATCATCAATAATTATTTCATTATTTCACAACACTTTCCATTTGATAATTATTTGTACAATAACTATTTCGTCAAAAACTTTGTTTGATAAAAATCCAGTGGAAAAAAATGAAACATAGGAAAAAGAATACAGTTATTTGTTCATATTTTGGAGTATAAAAGAAAATGTTGTCTAAAAGAAAATCCAGTGAGACAAAACCTAAATTAAGGAAAAAGAGTGCAGCTATTCCCCTAACGAAAATCATTGAAGATTTTGAGTTGAAGTATTCCAATCTTCTGAACCAATTTAGATGTTAGTAATGCTTTTGTGAGTAAATCAGCCACATTATCACTTGAATGAATTTGTTGAATATCGATGTTGCCATTTTTCTAAAGCATGTCTATGAAAGAATTTTGAATAAATATGTTTCGTTCTGCCACATTTGATATAGACTCCTTTGAGTTGGATAATACAAGTTGCATTGTCTAGTTTAAATCTAATATGGTTGATGAATTATTAGTTAATTGATTTGAAGATATATTAAACAAAGGGACTATCTTTTTGGTATTTTCTTACTGTCCTAAGCACATTTGTCAAGACACGATTCTATTCAATTTTCGAGAGTAAAGAAAAAAGAGATGAGGGAATAATTTTTTTTTATCTAATTCAAATGAGAAAATTCTAATATTCCTAGATAAGGAAAGGCATTTTCGAATGAAGTTTAGTGGGCATCTAGAATTGTTGATATCATACTTTTATTGTTAATTAATTTGAATATTGTGATTTGATTGAAATTTTTATAGATTAGTTGATTATAATTGTTTGTGCATTGTTCAATACATTGTGTAGTTTAAATCTACTCACGGTAGAAACAATTTTGACGGAATTTTCATACAATTGAATGGCTCAATTATTGTACTGTCTCATATCCATTTTGGGACCACTAATATATCGAATGAATTAAGAGATGTATCAGGACATCTCAATTTTGTTGACATTCCTTAGTATGAATCCAGGATGTCTACGCGTGTTGGTTCAGTCGTCACCGGAGTGTTGCACCTCGTGCTACACTCCCCAATTAGGGAGATTTGTCTCGTCGCCGTGAACCCAAGTATGGTCACTAATCTCGGAACTAAGGTCACATCGAAAAGTTACAGTGAAAAAAGGAAATGGTTCTATGTAAAAACAAGATTAGGGTTAGTTTTTTCAATTGCACTGATGGCTTGAGAATGAATGGAAGAAAACAACTTCAATTCACGAATTTAAGCTCTGAAACCATGATAATATATAATTAAACATAAGGAATCAAACATATGGGGGGGAAAAAAGGAAAAGGGGAAGAAGAAAAAAAAAATAATCGAGCCCAAAAAAAATATATTTCGATTGAGAGAATAATGTTATATATACAAGAAGACTAAAACTAAAAAGAAACCTACCAATGAAAGGAAACTAATAATATTATACATAAATATTATATTATGGTGTTATGAAAAGAGGGGAAAAAAATAAAATAAGAGTTAAAACTCAAGTGTTTTTTATTGAGAATCAGTACTCATATTTATAGGGTTCAAAATAAGAGTTACAATGGGTGCAAAATAGATATTCTAAACTAGATAAAACTTATTTATGTATCATAATAACACTAAAGAATCATCAATAATTATCTCATTATTTTACAACACTTCCCATTTGATGATTATTTGTTCAATAACTGTCTCGTTAAAAACTTCGTTTGATAAAAATCCAGTGAAAAAATAAGAGGAAAAAGAGTACAGTTAATTGTTAATATTTTGGAGTATAAAGAAAATGCTATCTTATTAAAATCTTGCTGGAAAAATTCAGTGGAACAAAACCTAGACTAAGGTAAAAGAGTGGAGTTACTCCCCCTAATAAGAATCATTGAAGATCTTTGAGTTGAAGTATTCCAATCTTCTGAATCAATTTAGATGTTGGCAATGCTTTTTAACCACATTATCACTTGAATCAATTTGTTGAATACCGATGTTGCCATTTTTTTTGAAGCATATGTGTATGAAAGAATTTTGAAAAAATATGTATCGTTAGCAGTTTTGTTACACTCTTTAAGAGTTCTAATTAAATTTTAATTATCAACAAAAACTACCACAATTGCAAATCCAATATTTGATTTCATTATGAAAACACATAGGCAGACATCGTCACTTTTATAACTTCATTCAACAAATATTCGCTAAAGCAATTATACTACATGCGTCCGAAATATTTCAATCCATATAATGCTCTTTACAATTTTATTGAGAATATGGTTTCTTCAGCATGTATTATTTGTTCTTGGCATTTTAAGTCTTGCAGAGACTTTCATATAAATAAGTTGTTACTACGTTCATAAGGCACATACCAAGTTTTTGTGACACGGTCAAACTAATTAAGGATGTAAAAGTAATGGTGTTTATCACAGGAGA